GAGCCCGATGCGGGACTCGATCCCGGGACTCCAGGATCATGACCTGAGCCGAAGGCAGTCGCTTAACCAACTGAGCCACCCAGGCGCCCTAGGTGAGTCTTTTTATGCATGTATATTGAGTTTCTAAAGACAGTCCTCATTGCTGAACCATGTTGGTTGAATGCCTTGAATTCCATCCCATTCTTGGACACATGTATACTACAAAAGAAATCCTGGCTAATTCGGAATCTTTGCTTATTTTCGTTCCTTGAGCTGCCCTAACATCGAAGTGAATTTAATCATTCAAAATCAGTATAACTGAGTACTGCACACAATTCAAATAATTTCCATTCGACTTTGGAAAGCGACAACACATATACGGCTGGCTCCAGGCCTGTCCCTTCCTCAGGCCTCCTGGGGTCCATGAACAGGGCAGTGGCTATAACTCCCAGGGAGATGCGTGTAGGGGACAAAGACAGATGTTTCCGGGAAAAGTCGTCTCTTCTTTAAACTCTCTGAGAGATTACTCAAGAGTCAAGCTTTAGTTAAAAAATTTTTCTAGGATATATTTAAGCTTTTATTTATTTATTTATTTGAGGGGGAGGGGCAGAGGGAGAGGGAGGGAGAGAATCTTAAATGTGTTCCATGCCCAGCACAGAGCCCGATGCAGGGCTCCATCTCACGATCCTGAGATCATGACCTGAGCCGAAATCAAGAATCAGATGTTTAACTGACTGTGTCACCCAGGTGCCCCTTTAAGCTTTTAAAAAGTATGCAATTAATCATCCACATTAAGGTCATTCTTTTGCACTCACTGGCAGTCTTGGGGGGAAGACCTTAGCCATTTCTCAAGGGCTACTCCAGCTTCCCCCACAAAGGCAATCATGAGCTACCTTCAATAATAAAAGAAAGCCCTTTTATGAGATTCAGGACTAGGGAGAAGATGAAAATGTTGAACACTGACCTCGTGTGAAGTTTCAGGACATAGTTTGGAAACTATGGGCAGGTAGATTTAGGATGCTCTGGTTCATTCAACTGAGATTCACCGAACTTTGGATTTGGTAAGAGTTGGAAGGGAGCTTGGAGCAAATCTGGTTCAGTCACCTCACTTTTTGGAAGAGAAACAGAATACCAGACAGATTAGGGGATATGCCCCAAACTGCTGGTGTGGAACTGGGGCTAGAAGGAGCACAGGCTCCTGGTGCTTTGTTGCCTACAGGGCTTTCCAGCATGTAGACTGGTGCCCTATGAAATAGGGAAATTTCTATCTGTCTATGATGTCCATGGAATGCAAAATAAAGATGAGCAGCAAGATGCCTCTGCAAAGACAATAGGTAAATCTTGGGAAGAAAACGGAAGACAGCACTGGCCATCCATTGTGGGGGAGCCTGTTCCAGTTTTTCTTATGTGCCTATTGTAGGTGACCCAAGTCACCCTCCTGCTCCAGAATCTAAGCTCTGTAGGAGCCATCCCTTGGATGCTCTGGTCTCTAGTTCTAGGTCCAAGTCCCTAAGTGTTAGAAAGTCCAGATGTATTCAAGCAGGGTAGAAATACTTGTTAGAAAAATAAAACCTTACGAGGATTTCTAAAATAAAATAGCTTTGAAAATCAGTGGAATGTGGCTGGTGAAACAGGTCCCTAATTACTCATCTTTTACCCACTCTCTGGGGTCATTTTAGCAATTAAAAGTCAAGTGAACAGATGAGTCAGGTCTACCTCTTCCAGTAAACAAGTATCTTCTTATCAACCCAGATGGACCAGAGATTGATGAATCTCCCCATGGAGAACAAAGTAGCAACTTTATTAATAGGAAAAGAGATGCAAATCAAAACAAGGGGATATCCATTTTCATTCATCCCGTTAGTAAAGATTAAAAAAAAAAAAAAACAGATTGGCAAAAATGTGAGAGAAAAATTTTGCTTAAACATTAGTTGACGGCCAGGGAACATGTAAATTGCTATACCTTTTCTGAAGACCAGTTGGAAAAAATGTACCAAAGGATTAAAAGTGTTAATTTACCGGGGCGCCTGGGTGGCTCAGTTGGTTAAGCATCTGCCTTCAGCTCAAGTCGTGATCCCAGGGTACTGGGATTGAGCCCCATATTGAGCCCCTTACGGAGCCCCACACTGGGCTCCCTACTCCTAGGGGAGCCTCTGGAGCCTGCGGAACCTGCTTCTCCCTCTCCCTCTGCCTGCTGCCCCTCCCTCTTATGCTCACACACTCTCTCTCTCTGCCAAATAAATAAAATCTTTAAAATAAGAAGTGTTAATTTACCATGTAATCTCATCACTAAGAATTTATCTTAATAAGATAATCAGAGGTATACCCAAAAACTCATAAATAAGGGTGTTCATCATTTTCTTATAAGGCTATTTATAATAAACAAGTCAGAAGAAATCTAAATGCCTCTTAACAGGAGATTAAATACATCATGGTATATTCAGAGGGCATCATATGCAGCAAATGAAATCCATATAATTACATTTAAGGCCATGGAGATTGTGTGTTCTATATTGTTAGATAAAAAAGACAAGTTATAAAACAGTATGCTTAGTATAAATTGACTATATAAGTGTATGTGCATATTTTTATATTCTTAGTAAAGAATTAGAAGGATTTATACTTCAACAAATTAACAGCAATTTTCTCTGGGATGTACTATCATAGATTATTTAAACAAATTTATTTGCTCCTTTTTCATTTTCCATTTTTCCACAGTTAACTCATTAAGTCTTTTATTCATTCACAAATGTTCTTGGAGTGCTTCTTATGTCCTGGGCTGGGTGCTGAGTGTTGGTGATGACTGAGAACAAGAGAGACAAGGTCCTGCCCTTAGGGAGCTTTTAGCATGCAGGAAAGGGTAAACAAAAGCAAGCAAGCAGACAATATAATTTCAAATTGTACTAAGTGGGATGTAAGATAGAGTGGTCTGGAAAGTCCCTTCTAAGGAGGTGTTGTGTGTGCGTGCGTGTGTGTGGGGTGGTGTGGGAGGATAGGGGAGAACATTCCAGCAGTGAGAATGGCATGTGCAAAGGCCCTGGGGGTAGGAAACATTGATCACCAAAGTGTAGTATCTATTTCCAGTTTATTTCAGCATTTATCCAGCAGATATTTTTACTGAGGACCCTCTGAGAATCACACTGTGCAAGGCTCTGCGAGGGATAGAACGATATGCAACCTGTGGTTCTCTGTTCCATTTCCTGTCAGTACATGGCTGAATGCCAGACGAGTTGCACAGATGGTTTGTGGTATAGGAATGTAGAGGAGACTCAGTTTTGCCTTTCCTGTTCGCTAACACCTCATTCATGGTGGGTGGTCTTGGGTGGCTAGAGAGGTCATGATTGCTCAGGTCATGCTCTCAGCTGACGGCGGCAAGCTCACGCCACAGGGGAGGTTTGCAGGCTAATTGCAATGAGCTTGATGTGGATGAGGGCTTTTCTGTGAATCTTTCTTAAATGTCTTAGCTGAATTCATTAGCTAAGTGGTGGCTCTCTTTGGTTAAAATATTTGAAGTCAGAGAAATAATGTCTACTTTGGGAGCTATTGCCTATTTTAACGCTTCCAATTTAATTTAGCAAATATTTACTGGTCCCATGCCCTGGGTTAGAAACTGAGTTAAATACTCTTGCGGATTAAACATATAGTAGGAAATTTGCCATTTATTTGGGGGGGATAAGGCAAGCTATACAGTTACCACAGAAATGGGGAGCCAGAACTGACAAAAGAGGTAAAGGCAAAGTGATTCTAGGTTTCAAAGGAGGGAAAAACCATATTTGATTAAAAAGTCCTGGGAGGGTTTCCCCAAGAAAGAGGTATTGCAGGTGGTGTGTATGGGGTTGATAGGAATTTGCCGCAAAGATCTGTTTGGAGGGCATTCTGGGCAGATTAACAGCATGAGCAAAGGCATGGGGGCTGGAAGCTGGGTGTGTTCAGGTTACATCAGAACTAGTGTGCAGCCTTGGCTGACATGAGCAAGCAGAGGAGGTGAGGCTGGACAGACAGGCAGAGATCATGTGGCTGGGGAAACTTTTACACAAGTATACATTCAATGGGGAGCTATTCAAGGCATTTGAGATCTGAGGATGATTAATTTGGGCAGATGGTTGAATGCCACTGAGGGGAAGACCTAGGGGCCAGGAGGTGAAATCATAGTCTTCTTTGGCCTCTGTCCTGTGGAGTTCTAGAGGCAGCTGAACTGGAGTAGAAAAAACCCTAATTTGAAGCCAGGAGACTTGAGTGTCCATCCTATTCTGACATTGAGTAGCTGGGTCTTCTTGGACAAGTCACCCAACTTCTAAGCTCATTTAGCTGTCTATAAGGTGGGACAATAATCTCTATCTCAAAGGACTGTGGCAAGTTCAAATGCAGTAACTGATATGATAGCTCTTTATCAATCAACCTTTTTATTGTTCTTTTGTGACATAATTGTGCATATGTCTATCTCAATTTGGTTTATTTTTTACCTCTTTGATTCTGAAGTATATGTTGCTGTGAGTTCTACCGTCTGGACTTGAATGATTAGTATATGTTAGACTGTTGTCATTTATGTTTTTAAAAAAATCACTTTTATTTAAATGCCCAGTTCAGAGTCCCAACAAAAGAATAGTTGGTATCTCATTTTTACGTATATCTTTCATCTCTCTATGATACAGGTCAACCCAATCCACCCTCTGAAAAAAAGGAGCTGAGAAAAGTGGCCCATTTAACAGGTCTGTATCTGGAAGGTACATGGGGCTTGGGAAAGCCTTTGAAGAAAGAGTAGCTGGTTGGGTACTGTGCTCAGAGAGAGTTGCTACTTTCTGGTGACAGTATTTGACACCCAAGAATAGTCCCATCTTTCTAGTCAAGTCAACCTCACACCCAGACTGAGCCCCTGTGCTAGTCTAGGCCATGTTCTGAACGGGCAAAATGGAGCTGATTATGACATGACCCCCACCCAGGAGGAGCTCACTTTTTTCAATCATTCCAAAGACCCTTAGAGGATTTGGGGCATGGGTTCAAGAGGTGAGATCTGGAAAGGTAGGGAGTGATCAATTATTTTAGTTAGTGCTTTTCTGGTTTTCTAGAAGAGCTTCACTCTGCTTTGCACAAGAGTAGATGGAGGAGTAAGAAGAAGGGTCCAGTCCTGGCACTGGTGGCCTTCCTGCATGTGGCCAACTGGTGGAGTGAAGTGATTTGAAAGCAATGTGGTGTGAGCATTCCCAGGGTACAGTCCGTGAATATCTGCAAAGTGGATAAGTATCACAGAAAGTGGTATGCCACTGTCCCTGGAATTATTTAGGCAAAGGCTGTAGAATGATCCAGTTTGGATCACCAGATATTTATTGAACACATGTTGTGTGCCGAGCCTTGGGGACATGTAGATTAATAATACGTGGTTCCTGCCTTCAAGGAACTTAAAATCTAATAGGGAAATACAGGTACATAAGTGATAATTTCAGTACTGGAGAGTGTTCTCTGCTTAAGGTATGAATATACTGCTGTGGAGACATAAAAGAAAGGGGATTTTAGCCCAAAGTGGGGGTACTGAAGACTCTTTAGTATAGGTGAGGAGTGGATCACATGATCCCTAAGGTTCTTCCCAACTTTAGAATTTCCTTGGGTTTCACTTTTTTCCTCATAGAGAGACCTCAAAACCTAGAAGTTTTGGTGTTAGTTCTGAAGATCATAGAATCTCTGCTCCAGAGAACTAAAATAATCTCAATAATGTCTCATTGTAATTGATTAGGATATATATTATTGTCCCAGTCGTGTAGATGATAAAATTGAGGCAAGCAATTTGATAGAGGTGTTGCAGGAATTCAGTGATGGATCGAGTCTGATCCATTAGCCAGGTCTGTATGGGCTATGCCATTTTGGTTATTTGCTCAAGGAAAGGCCCACAGTTTTGCCTTGGAAGCTTCATTTGTTGGGTGCATGAGCATTCCTGGCTGAAAGCTCCTCTCTGGTTTGATTTCAGGCAAGCCCAACTCAAGATCCATCCCTCTGGAATGGGAAGACACATATGGAATTGCCCTTGTCTCTGGGGTGAAGTATAAGAAGGGTGGCCTTGTGATCAATGATACTGGGTTGTACTTTGTGTATTCCAAGGTGTACTTCAGGGGCCAGTCCTGCAACAACAAGCCCCTGAGCCACAAGGTCTATATGAGGAACTCTAAGTATCCCCAGGATCTGGTGCTGATGGAGGGGAAGATCATGAACTACTGCACTACTGGCCAGATGTGGGCCCGCAGCAGCTACCTGGGGGCGGTATTCAATCTCACCAGCGCTGACCATTTATATGTCAATGTATCTGAACTGTCTTTGGTCAGTTTTGAGGAATCTAAGACATTTTTTGGCTTATATAAGCTCTAAGAAAAGCACTTTGGGAATTCTCTCCATATGGTTCCCTGTTACAGGCACTGAAAGTATGGTCTTGAATGAGAGTCTTCTTAAGTCCACTTGAGGTCAAGTGAGAAGACATGAGCCAAGAGTATCTAGAGACCACAGTGTCCAGCAGGTCTATACTTCCTCACCTCATGAGCCAGACAGGAGGGGGAATATGACTGAAGAACTTGAGACTCTGGGCTGCCATGTGAAGATGCAGAGGCAGGAAGAAGCAGCTACCAGAGTGTTCTACACTCATTTTAAGTGTCCAAAAGCATTTTGGCACATTGAAAAGGACACCTGTTAACTCACCTCTTGGGGTGGGTCTACTATCTACCTCAGGGGAGGCTGTCTTTCAGATATATGGATGTGACATGAGTGTATAAGGGATGGAAAAAGAGGACTAGGCTTGCATGATAAGCTAAAGAGGCCACAGGCCAGTGTCCCATTGGAAGCATGTTTACTTCTAAAGGCAGAGCTTGTGCCACCAGGTGATGGTAAGAGAGAAGCAAGGGGGATCTTTTGGGAAGTTGCTCCATTCCCCAAACAGCGTGTATATTTCCAGTGCAATTTTAGGTGTGTGTGTGTGTGTGTGTGTGTGCATGTGCGCTCACATGCATGTGACTAGAAGAGTTACGTAAGAAGAGACAATGTGGAGATTGTGAAGGACATGTTAGGAAAACATGGGTTGCATTTAGTGGTAGATTTTGAATACTTCTTGGCAACTGACTCAGTTGTCCTCAAAATAGTCCTCAAGACTCTTCAACTGTCAGCTGTTGATGCTGTTTTCCTATAATATAATCAGTATTTATATACATTTTGTGTATTTTAATAAAAAGAATATGTGTAATAAAAATTATATTTTAGAATACAGGTCAACATTATGAATGTATTTTTTGGAAATCACTAAAATTTGGGGATTTTTTTCCTTATTATTTCTTTCCTCCATGGCTTCTTCACTCCTTTTGCCTTAAGGCCACGTTAAGAAGAATTCACTGGAGTGAGAACTGTGATGCATATCTATCATTGCCAGACACATCTCTCCCCCAGTCTCTTTCCATTATCCAGAGTTTTTATTACCTATGTTATTGCCAATGCTAAGCTCACCCAACTTTCAACAGGTTTGATGACAATTCCTCCAGGCTCCTCTAGGAGCAGAGCCATAGCATAGTGGAAAGGGCACAGACTTTGGACTGAAAAACCTGAACTTGAATCTTTGCTCCTCTACTTTCTAAATGCAATCACTGGGTGAGTCACTTGACTTCTCTTGGACAAAAATGACTGATATGTATGTAAAGTATCTGGTACATGGCATCTATCATTTTAAGAAGCCACTCTATGAGAGGCACTTCTTGCTCCAGAAGGAACCACTGACCTGAGGCATCCATCCAAACACCAGGTTTCTTAGATACTCCTGTTCTTCCCTCACAGTGACCTTTTCCTTTTTTTTCGACTACTCACTACCATAGCCTCCCCCTAGACTTTGTCTTTGTTAAAAAATTATGGTATTTCCTTTACAATTTGATAAAGTCTTTGTTAAAAAAATTATGGTATTTCCTTTACAATTTGATTTCAGACATCTTATTTTCACATCATCTCCTATTATTCCAGCTCAATTGCTCCAACATTTTGTCTCCTAAAATGTGTCTGTTTTTACCACATTGAGACCCATGATAAACTCTATCATTTCCTTACATATCCATCAGCTCCGTCTTTATCTTCACTCCTCTCTCTGACAAGCTTAGATTCTACCCTCTGTCATTACAATCAGTATCTTGGAAAATTTCTCAATTCCAGAATATTCTGTGTCCTTCACTGTATTCTCCTTGCAAAAATCCCATTTCTTTTAAGCTGGCGTCCTACAAGCTGGATGTTGCTTAGAGAAAAATTACCCAAACAGACAGACTGGTTTCAGTTTATTTTTATCTATCATCTACCTAAGTCAATTACTCTTTATCACTGATTTATTTCTATCTTTTGATTGATTTGAATAAGTAATACAGGTACATAGTACAAATTTTAAAAGGCACACAAAGATATAGGATGAGAGTAAGTCCTCTTTTCACTTTTCCCATGGCCCCATTTCTGCCCACAGAGACTATCACTGTCTCCTTATGTAGTGCTCCAGAGAAGGTCTATATGTATGACATCAATTTACATCTGGGTTTCCCAACCTTGGTTCTATTGACATTCTGAGCTGGATAATTCTTTGCTGTGGGGGCTGTCCTGTGCGCTGTAGTATGTTTAACAGTATCTCTGCCTTCTATCCACTAGATGCTAGTAGCACAATGGAGTTATCACATCCTCCATATGTGATAACCAAGAATATCTCTAGGCATTGCCAAATGTGCCCAGGCTAGGGATAGGAAGAAAAAAATCAGCCCTACTTGAGAAACACTGCTTTATATTAGTGATCACAGATCTCAAATGGACATTCAACACTGCCTACCACTTCTTCTTCAGTTCCCTGCCAGTTATGTTTTTCCATTGTTTGAGACAGTTACATCATATCTTTTCCTCTTGCAAACCCCTCCTCCCACTATGGAACCTCACTTATACCACCAGAACACAAATCTACCCACATCTGCCTGATCTCTTTCTTTTATCCTTATAGTGGAGGAAGAGGACCATCTCTTCATTTGTGCACTAGATCCATTTCTATTCCCCTACTTTGCCTCTTTAAAATTGTTCTTCTCTCTTCTGGATCGTCAAACCATCTCTGTCTATGAAATGATTTCTATCAGCATGAACATATGTTCAAATATCCTTTTTCAATAAAAGACAGCCCAGCCCAAACCAAAAAAATCCCAAACCTTTCTTTACCTTTCCTCTTCTCCAGTGATGGTTGCATTTCTCATTTTCCTGGTAGAGACAAACATCTGAGAAGGTTGTCTCCACACACATGGATTCCTTTCCTTAGCCAGGAATGGTCTTCTTCAGGCTCCTCACGTGCCTGGCTTCTTCTTATCTTTCAGGCCTTAGTTTAAATGTCACCTCCTCAGATTATTCTTAGAGCTCCTCTCTTTCTCATTATTTTATTTCTTTTTAGTTCCTTCTTAGTAACTAGCATAACTTGTGGTTATATTATTTATTTGACCACTTAAAAATATGTTTTTCCACTAAAATAAAGTTCCCCAAACAAGACCTTTTCTGCTTTGTTTACCACTGTATCCTCAACACCAAATCCAGTGCTTGGCATATATTAGGAACTCAATAAATATCTGTTGACTGGATAACCTTAATTATAAAACAAATGTTTCTCAGTTTGGGGTATGTGTGTATGTTTCTCAGAGTAGTGAATATATTCACTACTAGTCATAGTGTTGCCTCATGAATATATGTGAGTGTTTCTCCAGCTTTGAGTAGATTATCTAATGGGAATTTGAGGCTACAGATGGAAAAAATAGTGCATCCTAATTCTTAGCACTGGAAAGCAAGAAAAATCTATTTGGTGTCTGGCATTACGAGGAGTTATTCAGGATACTGTTGAGGGAAACTGCTGGGTAACTAAAGCTGAACTCGTCACTTAGAAGATATTCAATAAATATTTGTTGAATAAATTAATTAACAAAACAAATGTCCAGGCTGGAGTGTGTCACCTGCTCTCCTTAAAACTCTCCTGTTGATTCATCTGCTTCCTGACCAGATACCTCATGGAGAAAGTCAGGGAGGTATTCAGCCTTCTTTTGGCTGCTTGTCTGTATTATAGCCCTCACAATGAAATCCACCTCATCCTTTTTCTCCTCTTTTGGCTCCAACCATCAAGTATACCAGTTCTAAGGGTAATGGGCAGTTTTCTGGACCTTTTAAATCAATGGATCCTTCTAGATAATGGCACCAAAGCAAAAAGAAAGTAGGAATGGCACTGGGGCATCCCGAGATGACATGATGCAATCAGCTAGCAGTGGTGTTACTGACACTTTTATCTCTCTAAGTCTGAGCTCTACTAGCATGCCTTTGGGATTTTCTGAAGATAGGGCCATAACTTACTAAGCTCTAAGTACTTGTTCCAGGAAAGAGACGTTAACAGTTCCTTCAGGAACCTTGACTTATTTTTCTTTGCCTCAGTAGGAACATAAAGAATGCCAAAAAATCAAAACTTTTTGATGAGCTCATTAAAAATGGGATCTGCCATCGTTACTTTTGAAATGCTAAACTCAAAGTGAACACTTAAAAAAAAGAAGAAGGAGAGGATTACTGCTGGTTCAGTAATTTGAGGTTTTCTTTCTTCTCAAACAACCAAAACCATACAAAACCCATGTTTTTCCTTAGCATCCCCAAGGTGGTGACCTTGTATTCTCTGAAGTAGGTTTTGACTTACCAGAGCTTACTAGGAAATGAGCTCTACTGGGGACCATCATTATGAGTGTGACTCATTTGAACCAACAGATCATTGGAAGATGGGAATTGGAGAGAGAAGCCTGACTTCTCTGAGCCGGACTGTAAGATTTCCTTAGGGTTAAGCCATAGATATTCCCTTGTCTTAATCTAAAAAGTATGCCAGCCATATGTTAAATTATATTTTTCAAAGGGGTTTGCTTACGTTCTGGTATTAGTAGGGATAATTTTTTACTTTCTGTAAAAATTTCTGTTTTTTCTTTTCTCCCCGCCCCCCCCCCACCACTTGGATCATCCAGAGGTGGAATGAGGTGGCCTTGGGAAATTAGAATCAGAACCCCATTCCTTAGGGTCTTCAGACTCAGAAACAAACCTTATTCAGAAATATCATAACTATAGTTGGTAGCCAGGAGCCTTTGGGGTTCACCTAAAAGCCAACATGCCTTGGAAATATAGACAGCTAAGTGGGTATTCTGCTCCTTACAGTTTGCCTCAGTGGTGACTTTCTCACTATTGCCAAAGCATCATCCTTATTGGGAGACATTTCTCCACAGTTCTAACTGTACGTCTTCAGAGAGGAGCACAAGGCAGATATCCCTCCTATCCCACTTGGAAGCTCCTTTGGCTCTATGGGGTCACCTTTTCTTCTGCTTCTCAATTGAATAACACGAACTCAATGTCATATTCTGTGGAAAGTCAAGTCTTCTCTCCAGTTTCCTGAAAATTTCAGGGAGCACCCTCATTCTCTTGGGCAGCCCACATTATAACAGGCCTCTTAGAAATCATACAAAGCAACCTCTCTTTTAAGGCAGAAGTTTTCATTACCACATTTCCAACAGATGGGACTCCATTTCCAACACAACCTTAATTTGAAAACTTCCTGGAGAGGGGCTCACTGAACTGTGATGGAGCCCGTATCTGCACTGGACTGTATTGCATTTTAGAAAATTCTTTCTCAGATTTGACTGAAATCCTCTACACTGTAACTTCCACACATTGGATATAGTTCTTTTCTGCTTAATATTCCCGCAGTATTTTATAGATTGTAAAGCTTTCTCATATACTTTATCTTGTTTAATTTTCATTACAACCTTGGAAGGTAGATTGTTGTCTTCATTTTATACACACAAAAAGACTGAGACACTGAAAATTTATGAGTCTTGCTTAAGGTGACGTGGCTAATAAATGGCGGAGCTGGGACTAAACTCTAGTCATCTAACCATACATCTGATGTTCTTTCCACTTGCAGAGATTTCTTAGCACTGTACCTTGTGTGATGGCACTCAACATGAGCCTCACCCCCTTAATTTTCAGTGATTCCTCATCTCTTTGCATTTTAGTTTAAGTCTCACTTTGATTAATATCCACATTCTGCATAATATAATATAATATAATAATATAATGTAATCTACATATTTGATATCACAACCCTCTAGAGGTCATAGAGTTTCATAGTTGACAATTG